GCTCGGGGGGCGGTGGGCCTCCCCCAGCCCTGCCTCTGCCCCAGCCCGGGTGCTCCTGTGGGCAGCACAAGGCTGGCGCAGCCCCTCCGCCTCCCCGCTGCTTGCCTGCTGCCTGCACTAGCAATATTTCGGGCCATCTCGGCCCGGCTGCGTTTGTGCCTCTCGCCGGTACATCCTTCCCCCCTGGGATGTGGGGGAGTGGGATGGCAGCGGGGAACCCTCCCCCCCCCCTTCTCCCCTCCCTGCCACGGACACGTCCAGGGCAGCTGCAGGTGGAAGCAGGGCCGGACACAGACCACCGGCCGGTAGCACCCCATGCCGTGGGGCAGAGCTGGGGCGCGGGGGGCTGGGGGGGCCCGCTGGCGAGGGCTGCACGGCTGCGTCATCCCTCCGTGCCGTCCGCACCCGGCCACCCACTTCCCCGCTATTGTCTTACACCCGCTGTTGCTTCTGCTCCCAAATTAGATGCTGGGGGGGGCTGGCTCTGTGCGGGTGCTAGCACAGCACCCAGCCTCCCCCCCTGGCACCCCAGGGAGGAAACAGTCACCCCTTTGCCCACCCCTTGCCTGGGTGCCCCTGCCATGGCCGGGGTGCTCTCACCTGTGGGGTGCAGGTGCTGTCCCCAATGTGGGGCTGGGTGCCAGCCTCCCTTGCAGGGTACCCCAGGTACACTGAGCCCCCGAATCAGCCCGGGGCAGGGGAGGGTGCCGGTGCTCAGCCCTGGCACGATGGGTCCCCGCTAAACCAACGGGAACTAATTTTATGAGCGCAGATTAGCTGAGCGCTCGCAGAGACAGCAATAAAATCCCGATACATCATCCCACCCGGGTCCCCTTCCCGGCTAATCCTGGCATCATGCCGCCGGTGCTGGCAGCCTTCCCGCCCACCCACAGGCCAGCCCTGCCCCTGCCAGCCCGCGGCACCGAGCCCGCTGCCACGCCAGCCAGCAGCTGCCAGGACAGCCCTCGTCCCCTTGGCCGGGCACGGTGGCATGGCAGAGCCGGTGTTGTGTGGCATGGGGACACAGAGGTGCCGGGCAGGTCATGTTTGCCCGGGAGGCTGTTGGGATGAGCTGAGCGTGGGCTGGAAAGTCTCACTTGGTCTGCAGCCCTGAGAGAGGTGTCCCATGGGTGCTCTGCTTCTCTTTTGGGAGCGGGTGCAGCCCGAGCGGGACGGGGACGGGTGCTCTTGCCTGGCGCGGTCTTTTCTGGCAGGAGGGTGCCTGGGTGTCGGGTGAGCTGGGAGCACCCATCCTGCGGGCATTGCTTGGGCAGGCACGGAGGCAGGGCAGCCCCGAGGGATGGAGGCAGGAAGGAGCATCCCCCAATTCCCTGGCTCGCCGCATGTCCCACCCAGGTTTGGGGTCGATCACCCCCGAGAGCGCTTAGGTGCGTGCCCTGGGTGCTGTGGGCAAGACCACCGTCCTCCTGGGGCCCGCGCGGCGGGGACGGGGCTGTGCACCTGAGGGTGGGTCGGGTGCTGCCGGGTGCTGCCCGTCCCTGCCCCCTCCAAAGGATGTGCCGCTTTCTGCATCTCCAGCTCCCATTGCCATAGCAACAGGCTCAGAGCTTGGGTACCCGCGATGCTGGCTCCCGCATCCCGCACTGCCATCCTGCCCGCGGCCCTCGCTGCCGGGCCACGGGCGCTGCTGGCACGGCACAGTGAGGCCGGCACATTGCAGTGTGGTGTTTCAGGAGCTTTAGCAGTGGGCGATGGGTGCCTCCAGCATCACACCAGCATCCCATTGTGGGGTCCGGTTTGGGCCTGTCCAAGAGGGCCGGGGGAGCCCGGGGAGCCCTGTCTCCTTCTGAGCCGTCAGAAAATAATGCCAATTGAAAGTTCCTCCCGGTAACAGGGTGGGAAAGGGGAAAAAACCACTTTATGGGACCAATTTTTTGCTGGGAAGCTTCCAAGCAGGGTCTGGATTCAAAGGGTTCCCAGCAGGAAAGCAAGGGGCAAAACATCTTTCCTAAAGGGCCGGAGGAGCTGGTGCATGCCAGGGCCGGTGTCCTGCCAGCTGCTGGCGGCAGGAGGGCCGGCGCTGCCAAACCACAGTGCCCGCCTGCCCGGTGCTGCGGTGGGGCTGTCAGGGCTGGTAGGGGACAGGGAGCTGAGGCTGGTGTAACTCAGTGCACGTGTGATGGTGTGTGACAGTGCTCTGCCTGGGGAAGCCCTGGCTACAGAAATGTCACCACCAGGCATAACCGGGCTGTGAAACGGGAAGGGGTCCATTTGCCTCCACCTCCCTCCCCAGCGGGTGCTCCAGGCTCTGCGCTAGCTCTGGCTACTTAATAAATCATTAACGAACTGCAAAGGAGGGCCGGACGGGCCGGCTCGCTGCCGTGCCTGCAGCCCGAGCCCAGGCAGAGCGGCCGGACGCCACGGGGGTGGACGCACATCGGTGGGGCTGAGCACGTGGTGGCTTGCGGCGGCCGGGAAGCACGAGCGACCGCTGTGCTTCGTCAGGTTTTACGTTAATTAGCAGGGCTCGGGCGGGAGGGGGGCTGGTACGGCTCCAGGGGGGCCGGCGGTGCCGGGGCGCTCACCGCCTCTCCCTGCCCTGCCAGCACCGGGCCCTGCGATGCCGTTTGGCTGCGTGACGCTGGGAGACAAGAAAGATTATAACCAGCCGTCCGAGGTGACCGACAGATATGACCTGGGCCAGGTCATCAAAACGTGAGTTGGTCCCCGCGGGTGCCCCGGGGACCCCAACCGGTTGCGTGCCTCCAGGCTGAGGAATGGCACGACGCTGCCCGCGGGGGCTTTTGGGGTGCCGGTCCCCGGCTGGGACGGGCAGGGCGCATTTCGGGGTGGCTGTCCCCTAATTAATCCCTCTCGCTGACAGGTGTGTGGGGTATTTACCGCCGGTGCCGAGAGGGCAGCGAGGATCTACCCGCTGCTGCCGGCTGCATCCGCGCGGCTCCCCGTATCCCTCCCTCCTCCCCCCAAGATCTGCAGGGCTTGCAGCAATTCCACACGATCCCGGCTTCCCTGAGCGCTCCGGGAAGCGGGAGGGCTCTGCTCCGGCAAAGGAATGGGCAGATGTCACTTGGGGGGGAGCGGAGCGCTGCTGCTTCGCCCCAAAATTTATTGCCGTGCTGGAGCACCCGTTAGGAAGCGCTCCACAAGTGAAGCCCTCAGACCTATTGAGAGCGGTTTGACCCCAAAATATGTCCCAGAAATTTTTCCATCAGCCTCCAAAACACCAGGACCGCTTGGCCGTGGGTCACACCTGGCGGGGTGATGCTGGGTGGCAGCGGGGACCTTTTTGGGTGCTCTCAAAGCTTTGCTCCATCCTCCGAGCAGCCTGTCCCAAAGCCCATGGCTCCCAGTTCCCCTGCACCCAGGGCAGCAGCCATGAGGATTTTGGGGCAGCCAGGGGGGTTGGAAAGCCAAACGCTTTGCCGGACTGGTGCCGGGTGCCCCCCGGGGCTCCTCTGCGGCTCTGGCCCGGCCGATGGGCTCGAGCATCATCTATAATAGAACAGAAATATTGCAGCATTCCCAGGCAACCGGCGCGTCTCCCCTTCTTTCTTCCCGACAGTGGCGCTGACATTAATGTCGGGGCGTGCTGCTGTTCTGCCTCGGCATGGGCGGCTTCGCAGCGGGTCCTACCCCGGCTGCTGCAGGGAGGGGGCTTTTTAATCAGCAAATTTTCCCCCTTCCCTACCAATTTGTTTATTCCATATCAGTTCCTTCTCACTGCCCATTATTTTTCCCCCCCTCGGCTCCGGGGCGGTTTTTAGCCGCAGCTTCCTTCCACCCCCGTGGCATCTCCCCTTGCCGCTGGAATGGGGGGGGATGCTGACGGGCCTGGGGACCACCCAAGCGCCCTGAGCTCGGTGGTCCCGGGAGGGAGGGTGACGGCTGCGGGTGCCCTTGCAGGGAGGAGTTCTGTGAAATCTTCCGGGCCAAGGAGAAGACGACGGGGAAGCTGTACACCTGCAAGAAGTTTTTGAAGCGGGACGGGCGGAAAGTGCGGAAGGCGGCCAAAAACGAGATCATCATCCTCAAAATGTGAGTGCTGGGGCTGGGCAGGGGGTGTGCTCCTGTGCTGCTGGGCAAATTGGGGACCCACGCCCCTGTCTCTCCATAGGGTGAAGCACCCCAACATCCTGCAGCTGGTGGACGTCTACATCACCCGCAAGGAGTATTTCATCTTCCTGGAGCTGTAAGTTTGGGGGGGCGCAGGGGTGGCTGGCTGGGGGTGCCCCCGCCGGGGGCGGGGGGGTCTCGGCAGAGCTGCCGTTGGCAGGGCCACCGGCCGGGAGGTCTTCGACTGGATCCTGGACCAGGGCTACTACTCAGAGAGGGACACCAGCAACGTCATCCGGCAGGTGCTGGAGGCCGTCGCCTACCTGCACTCGCTCAAGATCGTCCACAGGAACCTCAAGGTGGGTGGTGGGGAGGTGGGAGCACCCGCGGGCGCCGGCGTGCCCCCCGCCCCGACGCTCACGACCCCTGTGCCGGCAGCTGGAGAACCTGGTGTACTATAACCGCCTGAAGAACTCCAAGATCGTCATCAGTGACTTCCACCTGGCCAAGCTGGAGAACGGGCTCATCAAGGAGCCCTGCGGCACCCCCGAGTACCTGGGTGGGTGGGCGAGAGCCAGCTGGGCGGGTGCGCAGGGGCGGGCAGTGCTGCCGGGGTCCCGGCGGGGTCCCTGATGCTCCTTGCCACCCCGGGGACCCGTCCCAGGAGCTCTCATCGGGTCCC